CTCCAGAAGCTCCCTAACTAAATCCTCACTCACTCTAGGCCCAGGTGAGCCTCCCCCCAAAAAATTAGTAACTCCATGCAAGTGAAGTAAGGTCATCATTATTAAAGAGAAGGAGATATAAGCAAGAAGAGACTTGAACTCAATATATGTAATATAAAATGATCAGAAAAGAGGGTGGGGACAGCACTTTCTAATTTTCATTTTCTATTTTCTAAATAAGTATTCTGCTATGAAATAGTCTGTTATTTTCCAATTATAGTATGTAATGCAACTTTCAGGAATGTGCTGTAGTTTGATTCTTTTTTTCCCCTTTTTACACAGTTGCCATTCCAACATGCCTACTGTTCATGCTATTGTGCTTTCATAAACATGCCTTGTGCATCAGAGAAATCCCAAAGAGGTTAGACTATTGTAAAGATATTCATATAAAAATACCTGAATTTTGAACTTGTAGAAATTAATATTTTCTAGTCAAAAGAAGAAAGTTTAAAAGAAGTCTAATAATTTAATGTATTACATATTTTTATGAATTATACAGCACTATTAGCTGTTCTCTAATCATTGAAAAGTAAAGGTCTCTTCAACTCTCCTTCATAGTTGGAACCAATATATATTGGCAGGGATGTATGACAGCTTCATCCAAGTCTGATTTCCAGTCAATTTTCCAAGACTGAAACTCTATGGTATATTGCTTAGATACTCTTTGCAGGTTTGTTGTCACACATGCAACAGCTCCAAGAATGAGGTAATGTTTCTGACTTTGAGATCAGATGTTAAAGAAGAACAAAACAGGATGATAGTGTTTTCGGGCTCATAACTTTGCCATGAGTCCAGAATATGAAGCGGTACAGCAAACCACAAACCCTATGCTGATCTCCCACTGCTCTGAAGTGGGAGTAGACCCACGGTGGGCAATTATTTTTGGCAGAGGGCCACTTACCCAGTTTTGGCGAACTGTCGAGGGCTGCATGGGTAGCCCCGCCCCTTCACAGGTGCCCTGCCCCCTGGTCACCATCTTGGGACCAATGTCCGAGGGCCAGCACTGGTGGACCCCAGAGCAGGGCACAGGCTGGCAGGGGTCTGTGGAGTCAAGCTGGGCTGCACCAGCAGGGAGAGGGGGGAGCTGGCCCAGCTCCATAGAGGCCCTGCTGGCTGGGACCCTGTACCCCTGCTGCCCTGCTCTGGACCCTGGTGGTACTAGCTCAGGGAAAAGTGGCCCTTCTTCTGCCTCATGGCCCACACTCCGTGATGCAGTCACTTGCACCACGCACAGGGCTGTCCTACACAGGCAGCCCCAGGTGGATACAAGTGGTTGCAGCCCAGTGTGGCAAGCAGGGGGACCGCAGCTGCTGCCACCACATGCAGCCCCGACGGGCGAGCCTGAAGCCAGCATGGGGCCCAGGCTGGCAGTGGGAGCAGGTTACAAGCTGGTGCTGAGTGCGGGGTGGGGAGCGGCTCCTCGCCTGCTGTGGCCACTTTTCCAAGCGCTCAGCTTTTCCCCAGGGTCCTCTTCTGCCCTTCCCGCCCCCGTACTTACCTGAGTTTCCAACACAGTGCAGCCACATGGTCCCAGGCCAGAAGCTCCTACTGTTGCAGGAGCCCGCCATGGCTTCCCCTAGGTCCTACTGCCCCTAGCTCCAGTCATTTTTGACGGGAACCAAGAGCAGATAAATATTAATTTAATTATAAATTTTTTAGTGGCCCTGCGGGCCAGATAGAATGACTCGTGGGCCAGATTCGGTGGGCCAAATTTTGCCCACCCCTGGAGTAGACTGTAAGGTTGATAATCAGTGATCCCAGAACTGCTCTGCTTAGTGTTTTGAGGAGGCCAGTCCGAATACCACTGTTTCACTCCCTTCCTGTCCACTTGCATAAGGGGTGACTTACTGGCTTTGTAAAGCTACTGATTTTGCTGCCCTTCTATTCCTGATGTAGGCAGAAAATTACAGTATACCTCTTTGAAAATACTCAAAAGAGGTAATTCATAAGCTCACATGATAATGTATCTGACATAAATCAAAGAAAGGTGTGATATTTCAAAATTAACTGGTTTTAGTAATTGTCTTCAGTAATTTAGACTAAAGACAAATGCCAAAGCTCAAAGGTGTCTCTCTGATAAGGTTTCTGAATTCACAGATAGACACCTAAATAGAAGTGACCCAGTGGGCGCTTCAGCATCTCTGGAGATGGAACCACTTCTATTAATTGTAACTTAATCTAATTTAAGTTACGCTAGCCCTCCCCCTCCCCCTCCCCTGCCCTTTTTCTTTCCCTCTGTCTTTCTCTCTTCCCTGCCGCCAAAAAGAAGCATTTTTGGCATAAGTCTACAAAGAATTTTACAAAACATAATATATTTTCCTTTAATCTATCTAGTGAAGAGAAAACCAGTTCCTCAATTAGAGGAAGCCCTGGAACAAATTAAAGGATCAGTTTTAACATCAGGATTTTACTTGCCTATTAGGGAAAAAACTAACTGCAGGTAAGCATTTATGTTTGTTTTTTTGATTAAATTGTTTAGAGATGTTTGATACATACAACAAATAGCAAATTGTTGAATACTCCTTTTTTTAATTGTGGAACTTTATTTAGTGCCCAATAGTGCAGTTTTACAAAATGTAAAATGCTTTTTCCCCAGATTCATTTTTGCAGTGCATTTAGCACAGAGCAGAGAAGAGAAGACTAACCTTTCCATTTCCCTAACCCTGGTGAAGCCTGAGGCTCTCTCAGTGCTACCATAAATGAGAGGTTAAAATCAAAGCATCATAGAAAATTAGGGTCAGAAGGGACCTCAGGAGGTCTAGTCCAACCCCCTGCTCAAAGCAGGACCATCCCCAACTAGATCACTCCGGCCAGGGCTTGGTTGAGCTGGTCCTTAAAAATATCCAAGGATGGAGATTCCACCACCTCTCTAGGTAACTTGTTCCAGTGCTTCACCACTCTCCTAGTGAGAGAGTTTTTCCTAATATCCAACCTAAACTTCCGTTCCTGCAACTTAAGACCATAGCTACTTTTTCTGTCATCTGCCACCACTGAAAGCAGTCTAACTCCATCCTCTTTGAAACCATCGATCAGATAGTTGAAAGTTGCTATTAAATCCCCCCTTAGTCTATTCTTCTGCAAACTAAGTTTCCTCAGCCTCTTAGAAGTCATGTGCCCCAGCCTCCAAACCATTTTTGTTGCCCTTTGCTGGACTTTCTCCAAGTTGTCCACATCCTTTCTGTAGTAGGGAGCCCAAAACTGGATGTAGTACTCCAGATGTGGCCTCGCCAGTGCAGAATATTGCAGAATAATTACTTCCATCAATCTGTTGGCAATGTTCCTACTAATGCAATCCAGTATGTTGTTAGCCTTCTTGGCAACAAAGTCACACTGCTGACTCATATCAAGCTTATTGTCCACTGTAACCCCAAGGTCCTTTTCTACAGAGCTGCTGCTTAATCAGTTGGTCCCAGGCCTTTAGCAGTGCATGGGATTCTTTTGTCCTAAGTCCAGGACTTTGCAGATTTCTTTTGGTCCAATTCTCCATTTTTTCTAGGTCACTCTGAATCCTATCCCTGCCCTTCAGGTTGTTCTAATCTGTCCCAGTGCCATAGTTCTCTAGGCCACTCAGCCCTCTACTTATTTAATAGTAAATTCTAACCAGATACTTTACTGCTTCTCTTTTAGGTGCATTGTGATGCAGTTTTTAATGATAGGTTCATGTGTTTGTTTGTTTTTTCCACAAAGCCATGCCGCCTCCAGTCCACAGATTGGACAATATTCACTGCTTAAGCAACTATTCTATATTTTGTTGTTTCTTTGTTGTTCAGTGTGGCTCCGTGACTTATTTACTGTTTGTTGTCTAACTGTGCTCTGAAGATAGCATTATTAATTTTTCATGCGCTTCTGCAAAGACTCTCATCCTTATAGTATCTAGGTATGTCATAAATTTATTTTCACAAAGCTTTTGTGAGGTTTGTGGATATATACAGTGGTGTTAAACTTTTTGGTCCTGCGGGTCAGAGGAGGGACACAGGGCCAGTTCCAAGATTAAATCCTGTGCACCAACATCAAGGCCTGGGGCCCTGTGCTGCCTCCACTGTTAACTAATTTGAAAGTAAATGCATCCACTAATTTTGTATTCCCTACAACCTAATTTTTCAGAGTACTTTGCATTATATAGCACACCATTGTTCAATTTACTTCAGTTGCAGATGTGAGGACTCAGCACATCTGTAAATCTGAGTTTAGTATCTCGGTTTATCCTAGAAAATGATAAATACATAATTAGAGAAAACCTCAGAAAGATTTGGTTTAAGTGACTTGATTAACATCGCAGAGAAACTCTATGGCAAACAAAGGGATAGAATCTGCAATTCTCCAGGCAGAAGTCAACTTTCTTAAAAACTTCCTGTACTCCTTCCTTAATTCATTATTCATCTTTCAGAATTTGCAAAAATTGTATCAGAGTCCTATAGTCTTCACTATATAAATTCACAGATGTTAGGGGTTGGAAGGAACCTCTTGAGATCATCAGGTCCACCCCCCTGCACTTGTATAGGAAGGACTGTTGGGGTCAGATGACCCCAGTAAGGTGAGCATTCAGGCATTTTTGAAGATATCCAAAGTAGGTGATTTGTACCACTTTTGGGGGTGTCTCGTTCAGACCCTGGACACTCGAGTTGTAAAGTTTTTTCTTTTGTCTAATTTAAAGTGGTCTTCTAGCAATTTATGACAGTTAGTCCTAGCATTCCCCTGGGGAGCCCTGAACCTTGACTTATCCCCTATGTAGGTCCAGCCTGTGCAAGGGATGAAGCAGGGGCCCTGTGGAAATAACAATCTGATTATTTAATTGTAAAACATATACTTTAACCCCTGACTTTATTTGCCAGGTATTACATTTTTGCTCTGGTATCTGCATATTTTTATTTTAAAAAATAAACATTTTTGAAAATGCATAGTTGCTCAAAAATACTTATAAATCACGCAAAAAGTAAGAATTATATTTTTTTTCTACCTCAAGAACAACAGACTCTCCCTCAGTTTCATCTAGAAATGATTATTTGCATCAGAAACAGACCTCGGCATGGGTTAGCAGTGATAAAGCAAAACAGGAAAACAGTAGAACAAATCTAGATAGTAACCGACTTCTCTTCCAGCAAAATCTGGAAGAAAAGCAACAATTCCTTGAAGAGCAGCATCTCAGCAACTTGGAGGTATGATGTTTTAATATGTAGTTTCTAAGTAATGTTTCTGAAGTGTCTTAAGTTTAATGAAAAGCCCAAGAGGTGTAGCTATTACTATACTCAGATCCTCTGACGGATGTCGGCACCTGCAGTGTCCAAGGCTCACTAAGTGACGCAGTTCAAACCAGTGTGTTATTAAAACACTGTATACTTATGCTATATTTCATACTGAAGGTCTTCTTTGTATTCCAAAAAAATAGAAACAAGTTCTTATTTATTTAAAAACGGCTATGAAGATTGTAGGCATTGACTTGAAGTCCCAAGACTTTGTATGATACATAATAGCATTTTTGTGTCCTCTTTTTGGTCTCTCAGAATTTGTAGAAATGGTCTGCTTGCTTTGGGCTCATACATGTTGTCTTTGGAAGCAGTGTATTCCCTCTCTTGGTGTCCTAGGCTGATATGGCCCTTGACTAGTGATACCAGGACCATGACTCTTCCACTTATCACTTGTAGCTCTTTGCTAAAATGTTACCACACATTTTGGTTTTAAAAAATCATAGAAAATGAAGGTTGCAAGGCACCTAAGAAGGTCATCTAGACCAAAGCAGGACCATCCCCAACTATATCATCCCACTCAAGGCTTTGTATAGCTAGGTCCTAAAAGCCTTTAGGATAGAGATTCCACCACCTCTCTGGGTAACCTGTTCCAGTGCTTTAGTATCTTCCTAATGAGAAAACTCTTCCTGATATCTAACCTAAACTTCCCTTGCTGCAACTTGAGACCATTGCTACTTTTTTATTATCTGCCACCACTAAGAACAGTCTAACTCCATCCTCTTTGGAACCACCCATCAGGTAATTGAAGGTTGCTCTTAAATCCTCCCTCAGTCTTCTCTTTGCCAAACTAAGTAAGCCCAGCTCCCTCAGCCTCTCCTCAGAAGTCATGTCCCACAGCCCCTTTTCCATTTTCATTGCCCTCTGCTGGACTCTGTCCAATTTTGTCCATATCCGTTCTATAGTGAGGGGCACAAAACTGAACACAGTACTCCAGATGTGGCCTCACCAGTGCAGAATAGAGGGAAAAAATCACTTCCTTCAATCTGTGGGCAATGATCCTATTAGTGCAGTCCACTCTGCCGTTAGTCTTCTTCACAACAAAGACACACTGTTGGCTCATATTCAGCTTATTGTCCTTTTCTGCAGAGCTGCTGCTTAGCCGGTCAGTCCCCAGCCTGTACTGGTGCATGGGATTGTTTCATCCCAAGTACAGGACTTGGCACTTGTCCTTATTAAACCTCTTGAGATTTCTTTTGGTCCAGTCCTCCAATTTGTCAAAGTCTCTCTGAATCCTAGCCCTACCCTCCAGCATATCCACTAGTCAGTGCCAAGTGTATTAGCATGTATGTTGCCCCTTGACAGATCTGCACAGGTGACTTGTGAAGTAGTAGGTACAGCCAAATATATTTTGAAGTCTCTGATACTGATGCTTAGAGAAACACACAGTTCTAGCTTTATAGCCCTCACACAGGTGTTCAGCAGAGGTTTGAGACCATACTATATGAGGAAAATAATCTTTTTAATTGGAATTACTTTTTTTTAGTGTTCTCCTTGCAGTAGATTCTGTAACAATGTGAATACATTGATACATTCCCTAAGTCAGAGGTAGCTAAACTGTGGCACAAGTGGCCAGGGCAACCTCTGTGTGTGGCCTGTGGCAGATCAGGAAAGGGAAAGGCAGCACAGCAGCAGATAGGGTAGGAAACAGAAATGAGAGCAGCAGGGAGTACAGGGGAGAAAGCAGAGCAGGAGATCAGGCAGGATTAGGAAACAGAGTAGGAAGCAGAAAGCAGAGCAGCACTTCATGGAAGTGTGAGGGGCTAATTTGTGGCACGCTTGCTAAAAAGATTGACCCCCATTGCCCTAGATAATGATGATGATGTGAGCTAGTAAAATTTCTTATTAAAATACAAAATAATTTTCTATAACCCTTTTAATTTTAAAACATAAAAGTCTAAGCAATACAATGTTAAATGCATCATAGTAAGAAAATAATATTGTGCTACACTTTGTCAAAAAAAAATCCAGTTCCCTTTAATGGATTTTCATGAGAACATCCTTAAGTGACATATATACACATTAAAACTATAACGCATAGCAGAACATATTGTACAGATATGGTGTAAAGTCTTGCATTGTATCACTAGTATCACTTTTTAAAACACCTTTGGGCCTATAAATAATCTAGCTTTCTTCTTCTAGAATTTATTTGATTATTACCACTAGGGGCCGCTGATATTCTTCTCTGTGAAATGGGCAAATATTTCCAATTTGAAATCGTTTACAATATTTTTGTGGGGTTTCTTTCTAGAATTGTGTATTATGGGGGACTCTATTCAGACAAAGTCAGCAGAAAAATTAGTATCATTGTTTTGCAGCCCACATTTTGGCAGTTGTTACTGTGATTATGCTGATCTCTTAATGAATTGTGGCTCTCAAATTTATTGACATGACAGTAAAACATTAAGAAACCATATCTAATATTGTTGTGTACAAAACTTCTATAAGCAGCCTTTAATAAGCTTGTTACTATATGTTCCTCAGATCAGTCAAAGTCACTGCATCCAACAGTTGCTTCTACAAAGATGAAGGCAAACATCAAGGGCTTGTCTCACCAACCATTGAAAATCCTTTTACTTGCCTCCCTTTGTTTCAGTTTTTACAGGCCCAACAGGATTATAAAAATTCCTAAAATTCTTTTCTTTCATATAGGGCAGTAAAGTTCTATGTGGTCCGTACAATCAGATTCACTGTTTGTTCTCTGTGTCCTATCTTTAAAGATAGGTATAGTTTCAGTATTAAGCCTTCATTTTACAGTGACCTTTCTGTCATTTCTCACGATTATAACATTACAGAAATTTATCTATGTTTAGTTTTGCCTCTTGCAACAATTTTTGTGTTTGCACCATAAAATGAAATGCAGTATTTCAAAAACCTTCATTAAATATGTTGTATCTTGGAGAAATTTGTATAGATAACTTTCACTCGTAAACAGAGGCCCTCTCATTTTCTTTCTCCATCTAGATATTTGAAAAGTCGAGTTGATAGCTAAGGTTGCTTAATACCTTTCAGCAAGAAAATCTATCCTGATTTTCTTTTAACCTTCCCAAATATTAACTTTGACTTGAATTTTTCCATGATTGATGGCTGCCTCACTCCTAACTTTTTAAAGAGTTTCAGTTAAAATGTTTTAGTTCTGTCTAAGAATGTGACTGAAAAAATAGTAGAGTTTTATCAGAAGACAACTGTTTGATTGCTTGGCCAAAACCAAACACATTTCTTTTTTAGTTTTTGATCCAAAAAAAATGTTTCTGCTTTTTTTGGCAAAATATTTTTTTTAAATCTTGAAAGTGGAAAATGTCTTCTAATTAAAACACAATATTTAATTTCATTTGGGGGAATTTTTAACAAAATTAAATTTGGAAAAAAGCTAGTTTAACACTGGAATTTAGGTACAATTCACAGAACAAAAGAGAAGTTGGGAGTCTTCTCCCCAGTACTCTGTAATCAAGACGATCACCTGGTACATGGGAAATCAGGACTCAGACCTCTGCTTTGTCTGACGTGAAGTAGGGAGTTAAGAGAAATATAAGTATTAGGTATTCTGGATAGGTCCTCTTTTTTTGAAGGTGCCTAGTGTGTACAAAATACCAATTGATTGTAGCAGCAACTAGAAAGCAGATGTCTACTCTCCCGGGTCAGTGCCTTCATCAAAGGGATGTCACTTTTTACAGGAAGCATCATTTTTAGGAAGTCGCTGGTCCAAAGGCTATTTATATCATAATTAGACTTCACAGGATTCATTTTTTATTGGTAAATGTTAATAGACATTGATTTCACCTCACACTCACAGACCAACAAAAAAAATATGTCCTATCATTAATAATTGAGATTTATGGAAAGAGAAGGTAAGAAAAATGATGGCTGATGGAGTGTGTAATGACAGCAGTCTTACAGAACTGTGCTTACTGTACTTTGGACTTCAACTCCCAGAAACCCCAAGGGACTAGGAACAAAGGAAGAGGAAGTGACAAAGTAGACCAGAGAGCTACAGGCAAAATCTGGATTAATCTACTGGATCTAGCAAATTAGGCATTCCAGTAACTGGAACAAAAGGCCCAAGATATTTTTAAATTTATTTTTAATTTTTTATGAATTTACTACCAAATGAAAACAATGTTTTAAAGCACGTATGATTTATTGCTTTACAGATGTTTTCTTTTTAAATATTTTGATGTGATTTTTTTTTAAAGCTCGTATATCCTACTGCCGTTGATAAATTGACTGCACCCCTCACTTTGTACAATCTTGAAAATTAAAATTTATAAACATGGACATAAGTGCTTAAAAATTAACATCAATCTCATCCATTGGAATTATTAAAAAATAAAAATTGAATTCTGCCAAGTCTAATCATAATGCACTAAAATATACCAAGTATATAGAAGTAAAGGAAGATTATTGAACCAAAAACTACTTTCATTTAGTTTTTATAACTAGTAAAGTCAAACAAAATGAATCGATCCTACAGATACTTCCGCATGTGGAAAAAATTATTTGCATGAATGAGCTGGATCATATGACCAATGATTGCTTGCATTAGTTAAGTTACTTGTGTATTTGTGGGATTGAACTACATCTATAAAATTTAATGTTTTGATGGAAAAAATTGAACTCCTTTTTACAGCAACTTTGTGTTATTTCTGGAATGAGTTGATACGCTTCTTCTGTTGCATCTGCAACGCGTGTCCTATCCTGCTTCCTTATTCAGAGGTCTGGACACGACTAAGACAGAAAAATAGCCTTCTGTGTATATACTCCTTGACATTCAGGCAAAAAGTTGTAATGTACCTTGTGTCCATTAGAAGATTTTTTTTTTAAATGAGGTTAAGGAAGGGGGCACTTGGATAGAAATCAGCTTTCATTTCAGTGACAAATTCCATTTCAAGATTGGTCTTCTAAACATAAAA